TGACCAAACCCTTTTTTATGTCTAAAAATAGTATATCATTATCTGTATATCATTAACTATTGCATTATAAAATTAATCGTCTCATTTTAAGCTTCCAATTKTACGTACGAGTAATAGAACTAGCTTAATACTAGTATAAGCTGCGTCAGTGTTTCTAAATAAACAGTTGTGAAATAAGATACGGCGAAGGWTTAACATCCAAAACATCAGTAAGTCATTTCACCGAATTTATACGSTTTTGAAATTCATCTTATTTCACAAAATTTGTCTACAAGTCAAAATGCCGTTTTCATTTGGCCTTAACCRTCAAACGAATCCTCCCATTGAGACCTAAACAACCATGTCTGTCATATATTAATTTTAATACCTTTCTAAGTCCAATCATGATTTGTTCATGTGAACYTTTCTGCCTTTCTACAAAGTCTTTCACAAAAAGGAGCTTTGCCTTTATCGTCATCAAACCGAGCACACCTCCCTCTTGTGYGCATGTGCGATTTGCATCATTCCAGGGAGCCTTGGAATCCAAGAAGAACTTGTAGCATTTTTGGTCATGTTGGTGCCAGCCCTCCTCGTTGCACCTGTCTGAAGAATCAAAGACAGTGTCACAAAATGCACAACTTATAGAAAAAAAATACTGTAAGCAGAGGTTTGTTTTCGTTGGCTTCTTTTTTTTCTCTTTTCCTTTTGCTMTCTTTTGTTATTTGCAGTGCTAGTGTTTTGATAAATAATGCAGCAAGCACGTGACGCAAACTAGATGTATAATAGACCTCTGAAGCTTTTACGTCATGTACCGTATACGCAATGCATTGTAGGATATGTTTGGGACGGAACCGGTGGATTTCTTTTGTTTTCTCTAGAAACAGATCCCAATTTCATTGCAAATCAAGTAGTGACGTGTAAGGTTCAATCCATTTATGGAATTACTAGTTCTTACCTGATTCTTTATAGCAATACGCGCCAGCTTTACGATTAACTTTGTCTTGCACCGTTGTATCGCCCCAAATACGCACCAACCCTTGATATCCACAGTTATTATGATTTCGTTTGTAGAAGATAGGGTACCTGACTGTACCATCGACCAACCATCCCCAACTATGGAATAATATAGTGATCAGAAGAAAAAAGGAGAAAGATGCTTTCAAAGTTTCCTAAGCTGCTCTCATGTGAGTTTATTTCTACTTTTTATGACATAGTACTTTTTATTTGATTTCCTACAAAAATGAATGGCTTCACCTACTTGATTTGCAATGCATTGTGGGATCAGTTTCTATAGAAAACAAAAGAAATCCGTCATGTTTTGTCCCAAACATCTCCTACAATGCATTGCATTATTATTTCGTTCGGATTATGATTATGATTATGATTATTTCACTGCGACGATCACAACTCGGCTTATACACTTATTTACCGCAGTTCAAACCATCATTTAAGCATTTGTTAGTAGCTATGTATAGGTTCACCCAAAGTTACGACCGCTCGACAACATATTTGGCCTGGCATAGCTCATTTGGTAGAGCACTGCACCTGCATTGCAGAGGTCATGGGTTCGATGGTTTCGAAGCCCGAAATTATAACTYCACTTTGACGATCAAAGTCTCTTACACACTTATCCGTTGTCAATCGAACTCTCACGAATTATCTAGATTATATTTAGCATTGAGCACCCCTTATATGTATATACTATCTAAAAAACCTGCATATGTCGTAGCCAATCTTCCAAGCTGCTGTAAGCTGCTGTAGGTTTGCCARGTCAGCTCCAAACATCTCACAAACTCTCTTAGCATCAATGTAATTCCACATATAAGGTACATACCAGATTCGTAAATGAAACACGCCACTGTAGACTTTAAAGCCAGACACTTTGTTTTTCATTGCTTTATCTGTCAAAAGAGTTTCAATTAAATACCATGATCATCTCAGATCTTTAGTCTTCTGTAATTTCTACAAGCATTATACATCTTCTAAATTGAGAAGACAAAGAAGTAATTTTCAAAGAAGCAATTTTCCTCAAGCATAGGCATTTAGTAGACAGCAGGAAACAAAAGAAAGCACGAAAAAATGTTGACATTACAATAGCTCTAGAAATTTGAATCTTCTCCGATTTGGGGCTTAGCCTGAGCAAGAGTTTGAACCTTCTGGGAATACAGAATCTGAGAAAATGCAAATTCATAGGGCTATTGTAACAGGGTCTTAATGGGGGGGTCTCAATGTCGGTAGTCGAGTTAAAATTTCAAGCATTTGTCGTTAGCCAGTTAAAATTTTAGGCATTTGTCGGTAGTCGGTTATTTAAAAAAARYTGATAAACATTAAGTTTAAATGCATCTAAAACGGTGCTTTATACCAACAGAATTCTTTCTAAAATGCCAACAATTGAATCCTTAAGTCTTGATTGGTCAATTGGATGCCCATAAAGTTATAGAATGGGAGCTTCAAGAAGCCAATCCGAAGCAAAATTTATTTTTTCCGCRGAAAATTTCGAATGTAGTTGCTTGAAAAATAAAAAGAAAGCTTGTATTCACGGAGCTAACATCTTTGAATATTGGAAAATGTCGCCAGTCCAGTAAATTTGTTTGTCGATAGTCAGCAAATTTGGTTCAAATTTGTCGCTAGTCAGTAGTTATTTTGTCCATTTGTCGCTAGTCGGTTAACCCCATTCAGACCCTGTTGTAATGACAATTCATTTAAGTTACACAGTTATCTAGAGAAAAAAGAGAAAAGAGAAGAAAGGCTTGTATGTCTTTTGATATTCAGTGTTAATCTCAGACAAGCCGTGATAAAAGGGGAAATGTCTATGCTAATGAGTATGTATGAAAACAAAAACATCTACAAGAGGAGAACGCTGAATATCCTTTCCATGCAGATAGAAATTACCATTACCGATCTCACAATGGTCATTAATATATGGAAGATTAACAGCTTGATGGCCACAGTCACACTTGTAAGAGCCTTGGGCCGCCAGGTTGGATGTACAGGTCCCTCCATTCAGACATGGACTTGAAAAGCACGGATCCTGCAATGACGTAATACAATCACGCCTGATAGCTAATTGCAACTGCTTTTCTTTTCGAAAATATTGCATTTCTCTGCGTTTAAAAGTTAAAAAAAATCATATCTCTACGGAGATGAAGCCAGGATGAAGAAGGGAAGAGGAGGATTTTTTCAATATTTTGAAAGACCTCGGAAATATGATTTCCCGCTTTTTGAGGGGCTCGAGAACATATCTTTTAAGTAGGGAATCTAAAAAAAATATTACTTAACACATAGTTAATATACTTACAGCCGGACCGTAAAAGTCAAACCCTCTGCGCCTTCTCATCTTTACTGGCTTCGCCAAACTCGTCGAGTTGTTYAACTCACAAAATGTTTGRTTCGMCTYTTTRCCAAAGTTAACAGACAAGCAAGATTGGTGATTRACACAATGAACCTGACACGATGWAACATCGGTAGCTTCAACTCTCTTGACCAAACTGTCGAGTAGTACTAAACCAGGCTTGTGGTAAAAATTCATCAACTTGATATCAAGTTTATCCTTTGAAATGATCTCAATTGACATRRCTATTGTCCACAGATAGGTCATATTGACAAAATACAACGCTAAAATTGTCCGCATCATGTTCGCAGCACAGAGACACAGAACAAAGTTTCCATACAACCACATAAGGCACCTGTGCGTTTTGCCTCAAAAAATACAAAACATTCAGTGAATTAAGTACTCAGTTGTTCTCACTGATGTGATAAATCATTCATATCGTCTCATCGGAACTTTACATAAGTATTCAGTTATAAAGAAAGAATTGACTGGTGTTTTTTCCAAAGGATAGAGATAACAATGATGCAGTTGTTGACATCAGTTGTCTTTATTTACATTTCAAAAGTACTTTGGATTACTTCTATCGCAGTATGCATTATAAAACGAAGTGCAAAATTTTGTAAACTGGGCCATATAGAGTGCAAACACTAAAACTGTGCAACATAAATACCACTAAATACTGCTAAATTATGCTAATTGTATTGTTTTCTATTGTTTAGTTAACATTATTTTGTAGTAAATAGTGGAAAATGTTGAACACATTTAATGTTTGTACTCTAATTGTTATCAATTATAACCGAAACAATTGCATCAAGTTTCCGCAGGGAGTGTTAGGCCTTTTGTCAGCTTTTGATGGGCTCCCAACAATGGATATGATGCCCTTTATCATCAGCTGTTTGGATATGACATGGTTGACCGATAAACGGATTTTATCTTCTCGTGTTGAAAATCTTTTTTTAATGTCTAGACTAGACGCCCCTGGGGCGTGAAGTCGGACTAGCTATTTTTGAAAATTGATAAACACGAGTGAAAAGATTATGATGTTATATTTTGTCTAATCATATGATATTATGAATGTAAATGAAACTTGAGAAAGACAGCCTTTAAACATTACTAGAAAATGAAGGGAAAAACCTACGGCTTCATCTAGGGCACGAACCGCGCACAACGCAAACTGTACATACAAGTGCTGAGCCTGGGCGCCCTGTGACATAACATCAACACGGCGGAAAGACAGCTTGACTTAAAACAAGTTTTTAAGTATTCTTTTCAATTCATTCCACGTCAATCGTCGTGATGCTCACTTAGCAACTGCGAGACCATTGATGTGTGACTGAGTGCTTTATGATTGTATAGAAATATCACCACTAACTACCCGTCTGAGTATTAACTAGATGTTTGGCTAATATTATAGGTCGTGTATTCGAGAACCTTTTGATTAGTCTAATTAAAAGACGCAAAATCGTNAAAAAATCGCGCACTTTAAAAGTTTGTAAATTTAATTTCATGACACTTACATAATATTTACAACCTTTAAAGTGCGCGATTTTTTTCAATGTTATTTCATGCCATAAGATAGACGATGGGGCTTTAAGTTTGGTCTGTCGCACATTGATTTTTCAAAAGGTTTATATACAATTGCAATCACTAGTTCAACGGGGAAATTTGACCAAAAAATAGTAAAACTGAGATTCGGGCATCATGACCATCAATCAAAAGAGAAATGCCAAAAACCGCGTATTCTATCTAGAGTACGTCATCTTGTAATAAATATAAGGAGGTAGATGGGACGTAAATGAAGCTAAGTCTGCTGTAGCCCAAATAGCATAATTAAAAGCTAAGGCCATCCTATATTCTAYGTATATTCTATACAGATTTAGAGRYTATTCCTGTATGTCTTTCTGACAAACAAACGGCAGCTTATCATCCTCAGGTACGTTATTAAGKGACGTTGACTGTAYATTGACCGTCCCGATTGGTCCGCTTGGCTGAGTGACCTGCCACTCTGTCAGGGAGGTATTAAGAGGTTTCCCATCATTCCATTTCCATGATCCCCCCGAATCCTACAAAATGAAMTGATTTTAGTATTCAATGACAAARGTTAACTCTATTTTCTTGGCTATAGGGATAGTTGAGGATCTTAAGCATTTTTCTGCGGTGTAATCCTCTCTCTCCTTTAGCTGCGCGACTAGTAGACTTTAAGCATTTTATCATGTATATGCGATTATTTTAGTTAGTAATTGATTTTAGAAAGGGGTTGTACGATAACCAAACCCTTTTTTTATGTCTAATAATAGTACATCATTATCAGTATATCATTAATTATTGCATTGTAAAAATTCATTAGCTCATTTTAATCAGGGTCATATATGACTTGAGTAATTACCTTTCGAAGTCCAATCATGATTTGTTCATGTGAACTTTTCTGCCTTTCTAMAAAGTCTTTCACAAAAAGGAGCTTTGCCTTTATCGTCATCAAACCGAGCACACCTCCCAACTGCGCGCATGTGCGATTTGCATCATTCCAGGAAGACTTGGAATCCAGGAAGAACTTGTAGCATTTTTGGTCATGTTGATACCAGCTCTCCTCGTTGCACCTGTCTGAAGAATCAAAGACAGAATATGCCACCCAACTATTGCTTGAGAGAAAGAAAAGAACTAATGCGCACGCTTTTATTATATGTTGTTATAGCACCGGCGCGCGCTATTAGGAAAATGCGGGTTACCTGTGGTATTACGTCATTGATCCCTTGCCTCGCGGGATCAAAACCTTGTCTGTGTCTTGCTGTGTCTTGTCAGAGACTAGTATCTGATCTCGCGAGGCAAGCAAGGGATCACTGACGTAATACCACAGGTAACTCGCATTTAGCTACTGTAAGAGCGCGCGTCGATACTAGTACCAGCGTAAAAGCGTGTTCATTCATTCTTTTCTTTCTCTCAAACAATAGTTGGGTAGCCTATATCAGATTTAGCACAAACTGCAAGTTTGAGCTAAATCTGATATTTTGACACGCAGCGCGGATTGGAGAGAGATGGACTATGAACTTGCAAAGGGATCCTTTGGAACAAGCTAGTGACTATATTTCGACTTTTCATGCAGTCGASCAACTACGGAAGAAAGCTACTGTAAGCAAGGTTTGTTTTCGTTGGCTTATTATAGTTGTTTGTATTTTGGTCTCTTTTGCTATTTACTGAGTTCTAGTTTTGTTGTTGTTGGGTTTTTTTGATAAATAATGAAGCAAGAAATTTAGATGTATAATTGCTTTCAATCTTATGTATCAATCAGGGACCGCGGAGCGTGAATTTGTTTGGAGGGGCTAGCGGCGAGGAAGTATTGGGGGGGTTAGGAAATTTTTGAAATTTTAACTCTCGGAAATGTCATTTCCAGCGTTTTGAGGCGTTATCAATTTTTACCACACACACGGTCAGCGATATTATCAATAAATCCCCAAAGACTTCGCAAAAAGCTTCAAATTTAATTGTTCACGCTCAGTTTTTACAATGTTTTTATAGAATATATATGGTGAGATTTCATAAGGAGGCTCTTCGCTTCTTTATTTAAGAAAATTCAAAATGTCGGAAAACTTATTGGGGGGCAGTAGCCCCCCAGCGCTCCCTGCTCCGCGGTCCATGTCAATAAATTGATTTCTGGAATTATTATACTTACTAGTTATGGGTTCCTGTACTTACCTGATCCCACAATTCATTGCAAATCAAGTAGTGACGTGTAAGGTTCAATCCATTTATGRAATTACTAGTTSTTACCTGATTCTTTATAGCAATACGCGCCAGCTTTACGATTAACTTTGTCTTGCACCGTTGTATAGCCCACAATACGCACCAACCCTTGATATCCACAGCTATTATGATTTCGTTTGTAGAAGATAGGGTACCTGACTGTACCATCGACCAACCAACCCCAACTGATAAACAACGAAATAATAAAGTGACAGAAGATGATCAGTCAGTGCTAAGTCACCTATACTTTGAAATGTATTGTGGGGATCATTTTCTGGAGAAAACAAAAGAAATCCTATACATATATGCGTTGCGTATACAGTATGTGACGTAAAAGCTTCAAACTAATAAGTTTTGTTGTTTGGGAAGAACTCCTATTTAGTATTTGTTCGGATCGATTAAATGATAAACCTGGTCATGGAGAGCATGCAGTTTCTGAATAACCTTGAATGGCCATGCCCCATAATTACCTTCGCTTTGGAAACGGCTTTTTAATAAACTATCGCCCTTTAAGCCTAAAGGCTTTTTTCGGGCGATACGTTTATCAATAATTATTTAGATTATTATTATTTCACTGCGACGATCACAGTTCCTTTCACACTTATCCGTTGTCAATCAAACTTTTACAAATGTTCTGAATACTGGTTTAGCTTTGAACACCCCTATATGCGTGATACTATCTAAATACCTGCACTTGTCGTAGCCAATCTTCCAAGCTGCTGTTAGCTGCTGTAAATTTGCCAAGCCAGCTCCAAACATCTCACAAACTCTCTTAGCATCAATGTAATTCCACATATAAGGTACATTCATGATTAATCGTAAATGAAACACGCCACTGTAGACTTCAAAGCCAGACAATTTGTTTTTCGATGCTTTATCTGTCAAAAGAGTTTGTTATTAAATACCATGATCATCTCAGATCTTTAGTCTTCTGTAATTTCTACAAGCATTATACATCTTCTAAATTTAGCCGACAAAGAAGTACATTGTATTTTAGTAAATTTCCCTCTTGCTTTTATCAAATAGAGGGAATTTTGGTACAAGACAAAGGATTTTATTATCTTTTTTTTTACATTTCTATCATGGTCATAGTCAACAATGCATGAGGGAAATTTTGAAGACAATCTTCTTTTTTTCAAAATTTTGCTCGCGATCACATGATTAAAAAGGTACCTAGTGTGGCAAAGCTGTAATACGTTCCCTCTACAAATTAAAGTTTTTAAAACCGTATGGCGCTAAAACGTATAGTATATGAGAAGCTCAATATTTTTTCGAAAGCTTAAAATGTATCACGTTTTTTAAATATTCAGCACTGTCTAGCCTCCGTAGCAGACGTTCCAAGCGGTTCGATTCTCTCCCGGAGAGAGAATCGAACCGCTTGGGACGTCTGCTACGGAGGCTAAGCACTGTCTTGGTACTCTTTTCTATTGGAAAGTGAAGTTACATAGTTATAGTTATGCAGAGAGCTCAAATTTTCAAAAAAAGCTGAGTATTCTTTCCAAGCAGATAGAAATTACCATTACCGATTTCACAATGGTCATTAATATATGGAAGATTAACAGCTTGATGGCCACAGTCACACTTGTAAGAGCCTTGGGCCGTCAGGTTGGATGTACAGGTCCCTCCATTCAGACATGGATTTGAAAAACACGGATCCTGCAATGACGTAATACAATCACGACTGTTAGCTACTAATTGCGACTGTTTTTCATTCCGAAAATAGAATTGCATTTCTTTTTTTGAAAAAAACAACAAACAACAAACAAACAAACAAACAAACAAACAAACATATCTCTACGGAGATGAAGGCAGGATGAAGAAACGGGAAGCAGGAGTTTTTATAATTATGAGAACATATCTTTTGTGCAGCCGGTGAATCTATAAAAATATCACTTCACAGTGGCAAATGGTATTAGTATAGGCTTTGAAAACTTCGGTAAACTATGCTTTTGAGCTGCGATTCTGAATTCATTTTCCAGTTTTGGTACCCATGGGATAGAAAAACGCGTATCCTGGGGCAACCTGCGACCTATAATCTACTGCTATCGCAATGTTAATAAAAAATCTTATTAAATATTAATACAATTGAAAGTAAGTATATAAGTGGTAATTCTTTTAGGAAATGGAATCCACTGTCAACATTTGAATTGTGCTTTGAAATAAAGAACATGGTATGCTTTTTGGAAACTTAAAACTCTTAGGACAATTTTTACAGTAATAATAAAAGTACTCATTGAGGTCAGTATATCCTGCTTCACATAATAATTAATTACATAAATCGGCTTATTATTGTTTGAATTTGGAATCATCACAATATCTGCATCTTGGAGATTAGCATTCGCGCAATCAATATTTGGTCCGATCTTGAAAAATTTTAAATAAAACTTTGTTTTTCTCTCATTAGGATGTGTGATAGTCCAGAACTGGACCCTCTTTTATCCTTGCGCGCGCGGAGTTGAAAACTATTATTTTGAATCTACATCGTAGAGCGTTATCAATTTTCTTTAGCGCGCGATTTGGATTTTTAAATTTTATATAGAATATTATCTATAGTAATGGAGAAAAGAGAGTCCAGTTCTGGACTAGGTGTGTGACGGTATATAACTGGTTCTGAAAGAAACTTTAAAATACGAATGCATGTAATTATTAAATGAGTGGGAGGACCGTGCAAATATTTTATTTTGTCTTTACTTCATGGATATCCGAGAATTCCTGAAAACATTGACCAGTGTTATTCCTAATTTAGTGTTTTTCAAATAATGTATG